TGAAGAAGAAGGGCTGCCTTGCTGGGCCTGCAACAAAAAGCCAACAATTATATTAACAGCTATTAACGTGACTGCAACTGTTCATGGAACAATACTCCCCATTTTTATAAGGAAGATGCTTTCTGGTCTCAGCATGATATTGTTCAGATAAAGCCATTTTACGCGCCGCAGAGGTTTGGGGCTATCAAAAGATTAATGGATCCTTTTTAGAAAGCCCAATTCAGAGTTGCCAAGTCACGATTTTGTCATGAGTTTCATGGTAATTATTGCCTTAAAGCCCCAGCTCCTCGAGTCAAGTGGGTGTGTGATGACTTCAGCCTTTGTTCCAAACAAAAATAAAGTTTCTAGCGCATGTGCCTGTGGAGAAAACGTCAAAATGTGTCTCAAGAGCACCCTAAAGGCTCAAAAAGCAGAAGGTAAACAAACACCAAATCTAGTATTTTTACATCTAGTCTTGGGATTTAAAAGCTAATTTCATTATTTTTGGCAAGCCTGACTCTTGATTTTTGAATATTCAGGGTTGGCAATGCTGTAAAGACACAATACTTCTATGAACTGCAGTAACATTTTATCAACAAAAATGATCTCAGCTGTCTTTATGCAGTATTGTTGTGACCATGCTGGTCCCAGGAAACACAAGGTGGGTGAGGTAAGATCTTTTATTGGACCCACTGTTTTGGGTGAGAGAGGCGCCTCTGAGTTTACACAGAACTCTTCTTCATGTCTGGGAAATTTGCTCAATAGTGTCACAGCTAAGTGCAAGTTGGAATAAATTGTTCAGTATAGTCAACACATTTCAAGGCACCAGAGGCTAGTTAGCACCCCTCTAATCATATTGGGAAAAAGAAAAAAAACCTGAGAAGTGCTCATTTTTTGAAGGTGCTGTGCAGGTTTCCTTTGAGAACGAGGAGTGTGAGGTCAGAGAGTTATTGCTCTGTGATGTTTTCACCAACAGATCTATCATTTTCCCATGAAAGTTCGAGAAATGCAGCGATTGTCTCATTCACCTACTGTTATTGAGGCCTCCAGTGCACTGCAACACCGTGTGTGATGGATGTGAGTAGGGGCCAGAGATTCTGAAACGCCTGTTGTGGGAGATGTTGATAATTGCAGCATTGGAGATATGTCTACATAGGTTTTACATTGGTTGTTCTGGCAGGGTCTGATGCTGCTCTGAGTTGGCCTGTTTGTCCTGGTCTGTGGGGAGCCTGGAGAGGCTGGGGGAGAGGAGGTTATCCGAAGGGCAGAAATATTTCTTTCAGGATGGCATTCCCGTTGTGTATGGATTTTAACTGTTGAAGATAAACAGCATGGGTTCTAGTGCGGGGTGATAGAAACGCAGACAACCCTTCTTGCAGGCTTTTACGAACAGATTAGACAAAGATGGAGACTCCACAACCTTCCCAGGGAATTTATTCCAGTGCTTAACCACCTTAACAGTTAGGAAGTTTTTCCCAATGGCAACAAACCCTCCTTGTTGCCATTAGGGGATTACAAGAGTGTATGGTTGGAGGGAGTTTCATTTCCTCATTGAAGCAGGTTCTCTAGGGTATTTGGGTGGCCCATTTCATGATGTGATCTAGTTCCAGTTGTTTGGCCTGGAAGCTTAAATGCACAATTTTATTAGATACTAAAAATTAGGGGCTGAATAGACACACTGTTATAAACCATAAATCCAATCCATTACCCACTTAACCCCTCTGCCATCTTCCCCCTCCACACACATACCTTTACTCCCTATGACTAGAGAGGTTTTAATAGGCCACTTAACCTTGAATGATGCTTTGAAATGTGTGAACTACTTATGCTAAACAATTTATTCATCTTGTACTTAGCTGTGACACTCTTGAGTACATTTCCCAGACCTGAAGAATGGCTCTGTATAAGATGGAAAGCTTCTTTTTCTCTCACCAAAAGCAGCTGGTCCAATAAAAGATATTACCTCACCACCTTGTGTCTCAACTTTGAGAATACTTTCCTTGGTTTAGCCTAAAATCAGTCAGGAATCAACTTTGGCTTCATCAGTTTAGCTAGATTTCTCCAACAGACAAGCCTGGAGAGCCATCAAGTTTTCAGATGGTCATGATGGTAAAGTCTGTCACTAAGAATCAAGGCTAGATGGGAACAGAGCCTTACAGTGGAAAGACTCCACATCCCATTCCCAATCCCTAACACAGCCTCTGCCCAGGGCTTGGGTTTTTTGAAAACTGCTCACCGAAACAAAAGCAAAACAGAGGCCAGCTCCCCTCTGTGCCAGCTGCTCACTCTCAAGCCGCTGTTTTGCCAGCATCATAGACATCAGCGTTGGCAGAGGAGAGTGTTCTTCCTGCGGCTCCTTTGCAGAACTGCCATCTACCCCATAGAGCGGCTGCTCCACTCGCCGCTGTAATACATTTAAAAAAATACAATAAATCTTTAAAAAAAAAAATAGACGATTCTCTGGTTCTGCCAAAACTGTTGTCAGCCAAGCAGCAGCCCAGCAAGGGAGAGCCAGCAAAGAGAGGGTCTGATCACAAAAGCAGGGCTTCTGGAAAGATCACTCTGATAGCAAAGATCAATAGGAGTGACTGGAATCATGTGTTTGAAATGTGCTGCAAAGCATGTCAATGTGCAGAGCAGGATTCCCCTAACTAATGGAAATACTGTCCCCTCCACATCTGCACATTTTGGGGCCCTTCAAGCAAACAAAGTGACCCAGCCGGGAGATGAGCAGCAGAGTGGAGTGGCTTTGCATGGCTCCACCACTGCAGGGGACAAGGGGGAGGAGGAGAGAGGCTGACCCCTGGCAGGCCCCCCCAGTAATCTCCCGGGATACATCACTTGGGGGAAGGGGCTGTGAAGAAGGTCTGCAATGGGGAAGGGGTGTGGAAAGAGGTACGGCGGATGGTGGGTTTGCACCAGGCTCCGCACCACATTAGGGATGGTCCAGCTTCAAACCAGTGCATTACGCTTTGCCTCATTAAAATACGGTACATGGAAACTTCTGCCTTCACATCTCTACATATTTTCCCACTCAGAAGCCTCTCCTGCTGCTACCCATTTGTGCTGAAGGCAGGACACAGAGGATTTTAAAAGATGGAATAAAACTTGTTTTTAAACTGCTCATTTACTTTGCCCAGCATCAGAAATGCCACCGCCCTACTTTCTGTCTGAGAGCATGCTTTTCTGAGATGGGGACATTGCAAGAACTAAAATCTGAGCAGAGGGCTGTGAAATCTCAACTGAGGGATAAGAGGACCCAAGGTAGACAAGGGATATTCTAAGAAAGCTGAGCAACCTTTCCTAAAGATATTACCTTTCCTGGTCCCTGGCCACAGACAAGCTTTCCATGCAGTGTGAATGACTCTGACAATCTTTTCATAGAAGGGGCTTAACACCTTCCCCACACAGGGTGTGTCTAGACTACAGGGTTTTGTCGACAAAAGGGGACTTCTGTTGACAAAACTGTACGTGCGCCTGACACTACCGCCGAGTTCTGTCGACATAACATCGACAGAACTCGGCAGTTAACCTCATTCTACGAGGAATAACAACGCCTTTTGTCGACAGAGTTCTGTGGACAGAAGGCGTTATTGCATCTACACCGTCCTTCGCGTCTACACTCATGTCGACTGGATGCAGTCTAGATGCTCTTTGTTGACAGTATCTATCGACAAAGCCTCTGTCAACAAAAGCCTGTAGCCTAGATGTACCCCCACATACTAATTCCCTTAACTGGGAAGGATATTAAATGTTCTCCTCTTTCCCCCTGTTCCTACTGTTGTTGGGTTTTCCTTTGGTAGCCAAAACAAAGGTCTCTCAAATGCAAACTACTAACACAATAAAGACAAAGAAAAAGTATGGTTGCAGGAGAGAGGAGAACCAGAACTGAAGAGGAGGGATCTGAAGAACACTGAGAAGGTGGCTCTACCCCACACTGGCATGGAATCAGGTAAGCAGCTGCTTCTGGTGTTGGTGGCCCTGCCCTTTGACACCTGCAATCATGCCAGGACTAGAAGAGGAACCAGGAGGGCGGGCAACCCTGGGAAGGGACCAGGCTGTTGAGCTCCCCAGAGAGATCACAGCCAGTGAAGCCCCTGTCCTTGCAAACAGAACTGACCCCCTGCATTCAGAAGGGAAAATGGTCTCCAGTAAAAGTTTTTATCAAGTACACTTGGGGGTGAATGTGATACTGCCATGGTCCCTCTGAAGAGGCCAATATCCCATCTGGAAGCTAGGGATGTTAAAATATATTTATTTTTGTAAATGTGTAAGTGCTGAAATTTACAGCAGCTACACGTTTACACGTGAGGGGGCCAGGCAGGAACCATGCTCACAGGGAGCTGGCTTTTAAGCTGGTTTCCCCATGAGCACCTTCTCCTGCCTGCCCTCCCCCCTCTCTTACCCCCTGACACACACACACACACACACACACACACACCCTCTGTGACCATTAGGTTTAGCCATCGGTTAATGGTGTAAACAGGTACACATTCACATCCCTACTGTAAGCCACTTACAGGTTCTCCATTTCCTTTATGTTTTTATGTAAGCTTGTCTGGTGACTTCAGACTGTTTTGTTCCTTTCCCCATGGACCATGAGGGGAAGAAACAAACAAGCAGCCTGAGCCAGAGGACTGAGCACCAGCCCTGCTAAACTGACGCCTTCCAGCACCACAGGTTTGGGATAGTTAGACGTGCATGCTTTTGCTCCCCACGTAACTTCTGAAAAAAAGCACTCTGCCAAGGACAGAGGAGTGACAAGCACCTTTGTAAAAAAAGACACACCAGAGTTAGCCAATGCTGCCTGTGATTCCCGTTTTGATTTCATGGGAAAGGTTCTCTCCAGGTTTCTATATATGCCAAACACTAACATGCCAAAAAGCACTAAAGGAACTACTGACTCTTATACACTTACCACAGGAACCCAGATTCAGGGAACAACTGTCTTGAATGTTGGGAATATAAAATGTCATCCAGGCGGTATCAGTAAGAGGTTTTTGCATTTAACTTCTCTTTTTAAATAAGTGAGATGTTGTGGCGTTAAATGTAATCTAGCAATATATCTTAATTCCCTGTTCACTTCCAGGCAACACTGGAAGCACTTCATTAAAATCTGGTGATGTATGCTGATCTGAGGTCCAAACTCTCACTTTTGTGGCACTTTGTAGGATACAATTCCCAGAGCAATCAGCATTGTAATGTAGACAAATATGAGTTTGAGGTATGCAAATAACTTCAAAATAGACTAGTCAGGAAAGCTCATATGCTTCATTGTATCTGGTTTATCATCAGTATACACTGTTCCAGAAAATACTCCAAACGGTCATACTGTTCTCCAAATGCTTGAGAAAATTTGAAGTTTTAAGTTCAAGCCATTTTCAAAAGGGTGTTTAAAGATACTTACATGATCCAACACAAAAGCAGCTTTTGAAATATCTTTAACAGTTGTTTAAATATTGGTTCTTATTATGTTTGAACATTGCAAAAGGGACCAAGTGGCACAATGAAATTTTCTCAATGAAAGAAAACTGATAATGGGGATACACACACACAAAAGCTTTTACTGATTTTCCCAAAAAGCGACAGGCACCTGAAAATCAGTGTGGAATAAAATCTTGCAGAACTAACAGCAACGTGTTTGTATTTCAGTAGCTCTATGGACCCCAATGAAAGCCAGGATACAACTGAACTAAGCACCATGCAGATATTGTTGAGCCGGTTTTTTCTCCGGAAAAATCTCAGAATTGAAATAGACAAGACAAAACAGTGCAGGACGAGGGATGCAATAGACAAGCAGAGCATTCAGAATGACAGAATGGAAAATGTGTTAATTCTACTTTATCTATTAGGAGCATAAGCCAATCCACAACCCCTTTAAGACAGAACTCATATATACTATATACTATATCAAGAAATGGCATCTGGGGTTTGAAGTGTGTAAGATAAACTGTTTTAAGATTAGACTACCTACTTGGAAACAGACATGCCCATATCAGGCCCTGGACCCTTGGTTTTTATGGCTATGATACAGTTTATTAGCTCTTTTTAGACTGCAGGATCCTGAAACTAATTCAGAGACTAAACATTCTGCCTAATTTGTTCAGAAAAAAAAATCTCCTGTCTGTGGCATATCCACTGCATCATTTAACACCTTCCTCAGAGGGAATACTTACTGGTAAGGGATTGGATAAGGAATGCTGTGGTGAGGATCGGGCGACAGGTGGCACACTTCTGCCAGGACTGGTTCCTGGACCACTTCCCCCAGCAAACTGACCAAAGAGATACATATGATCAATCACTTCATAAAGATACTATGCTTGAGCAAGTTTAGTGGGGAAAAGACAGAAGCTGCACATTTATTTTAAAGCATAAAGAGCTTCTCTATAAGTCCTAGAAACCTGTTTAGTGGACACTGAAGACAACAAGAAATAAAAAAAAAAAAAAAATGTACTGACTGAGGTCTGGTCATTTTTCAACAGAAAACGAATGTGAACTATATCTATTATGCCCATAATACCAAGAGGTGATTGTGAATGCCTTCAATGGCTAAATATCCACTGCTACATTAGATATAATTTCTTATTTTAAACCAAGAGATCTAAACACATACAGTTCAGGATAAGTCATCTTGTAACAATCTAGAGTTAGAAAGATCTTGCTCTGGGCAGGTATGTCCATTTGTGAATTCTATGTACACACAAATGTGCATGGGGGCGGGGGGGAGAATTACACCTTGTTCTGAATCATCTGCTGTCAGTTAGAAACAGGATATCAGATTTGCTGGAACACTGGACTGATCTGGCATGGAAGTCCTTATGTTTCTGTACTATGGACTGTGCCATGCTTTAACTCAGCAATGTCTGAAGACAGTAAGGAAAAGGTGCTAGCAAAAGCATTGCTAACTCCAAGCCAACTAAATACTCAGAATAAAGTGAAGAAAAAGTTGTTAGGGATGTAAAGTAACAGGTTCAAGTTTGTACATGCTTGGAAAGAAAAAAATACCAAGAATATTAGTTTTTAGAGACACCCATCACTGTTTTGATATTGCCATTCTGTGCTTGATGCTGGCCTCTCTCCTGCAAAAGGCAGGATCTGTCCTACTTAAATTAATGGGACTTTGTTGGCAGATTCAGTCCCAGGAGAGGGACTTACACTGTAACTGCAGTGGGCTTGCCAAAAGGAGGCTCAGCTGCATGAGGCAAGGTTCAGATCCCAACAGAAGTCAACATAGCTACAATTTATAACATTTAGTCAGGCAACTGTTTAATTCAAAGAAAGAGAACAAGTTTAATTTAGGAACAAGATTCAAATAGTCTGCCCTAAGCAAACTCTTAAGCCCATCAGACCGATACAGTGATCACTTACACAGGAAGATTGAATGCAGTGGTGAGAGTAGGGATGTTCAGAAGCGGGTATTTCACTAATTGTGTAGTTGATAACATTTTTATTGACTACACAATTAGTTGATAAGGGAAGGCGCTCAGTCCCAGCTTGCGCCAGGTCTGGGAGCGACCCCCGCAGCAGCCTCCCCTCACCCTGATCGAGGCAGCAGCATGGGGCAGACGACACTGCTGAGACGGTGTTGGGGGGGAACTGGCTCCCTCAGCACCGACTCCTGCTCCCCACCCCCTTGCTGCCTCTGATACAGAGGAAGCTCAAGGGGTGGACGGGATGTGAACAGTCGACTCCATTACTCGCTTACATCCCTAGGTGAGAGTAACTTAAGTTTTACTGTAGTTTTCCATTTAAAAAAAAATCCTGAAACAAAGATTAAAAGAACAGATTTATCTGAAAATGCAATTTTAAATCGGCTTACCTCAAAATAATCACTAATTTTATGTCCCCTAGGAGTGCCTTTTCCTGAAAGGGAAATGGAGAAGAAGGCAAACTTGATTATTTGTAAATGTAAACATCTGAAGCTATTTTGAGAAAAATATTCACGTCAATAAAGATGCGCACATAGATGCACTTTATCGCCTAGTACAGAGAAGCCTCCACATGGCAATAGTTAATCCCAGGATTATAATCTCTATGCTTTACAAATTGGAGAGTTGACAGTTTGACTAATTCCAAAACTGACAGACCCAATCAGATGACATTTGTTTCTCTGCAAACAAGGGAAATAGTTGCTCTCACATTGTGCAATTTGGATCCCTCAAAGCTTCTTTCAAGGTAAGAGTATAATAAAAGTTACAATCTACTCTTGTCTGTGTTACTTACTGTACTCAATGTGAGTACCTTAAACCTTCCACAATCTTTTCCATGACAGCGAGAGAGATAGTTGTTATTTAATACAAACTTATTAAAATTTAACTTTGTTCCACCTTTCTTTCCAAACTCTATGGCTACGTCTACACCACGAGTTTTTGCGGCAGAAAATATGCATGAGGGGTCATTAGCCTAAGTCGTGACATCATTAGCATATTTTCTGCCATTTCTTTTTGCGCAAGGGGTTTCTGCACAAAAAGAAACGGTAGAAAATATGCTAACAATGTCGCGACTTATGCTAACGATCCCTCATTAGCATATTTTCTGCCACAAACTGATAGTATAGACATAGCCTATAAGTATAGTTTATGACCAAAATAATCTCAGTTATTTTGTTATAGGAGCAGATTCCTATCTCAAAAATAGTTTTTCATTCCCTCCTCTAAATGTTCACCTAGTAACAGAAGCATGAGAGCTTGGACTGAAATCAGATTCTTTCTTTTCTTTAAGATGATATTTGCTATTTCATACTTTTGAGTACAACTTGTTCTATTTGTTAAAGTAGATTCTGTCTATTACATGGAACAATGTAGAAAATGAAAGAAAGCTTTTCAAAATACAGCAAAAATAAGAGAAATTTCAGCTGCAGACCATACCCATGTCACTGAGCAAATGATATCCACTTAACTCATGTGAGGACCCATATCCAGTTTCTCCTTGTGCAACCTGGCCCTACTGTATGTCTCCAATAAGAATTCTACACTTATGACATTCATATTTACTTCTAAAGTAAGTTGTTATAAGACTGAATGTTTTTCTTACAATGGAAACAGTGAGTCTCCCAAAGGAAACTACATTATCACAGCATGTACTTCAAAGTTCTTAACAAGCAGCCTGGCACACTCTTGAGATGAACCATTACTCTCCTTAGACATGACAACTCTTTAAAAAATGAAGCCAATTATCAACTGTTCGAATCCTGTGAAGTGTCAGGAGAATGGATTACCTTGACTGGTCTCATATGCTTCTGCTTTCCTCTTCCGGTTCCGCTGGTCATTCTGTTTCTTCTCAGGAGTCTGTTAAAAAATACTTCAAAGTTAACATTTCTGTTATTCCCAAATTTTAAAAATGGCCAACATACTAAATAGGTTGCAGATCTTCAATGGTCATCCCTGCTCCCAAGCACAATAATTTTACTTAGAGAGAAATTATCTACCTTCAGACCCATGTACAGCAAAAATAAGAAAACATGTTAAAAAAATCAGTAGGGGTGGGACCAGGAGAGATTATTTTCTATTTCAGACACTGTAAGGTTGATTCTTCGTTGCCCTGTACATCATTTTGTCTTTTAGTCTGCTGCAGATCAAGCACAAAATTCAATCAAATCAGAACGGCATTTAACGTGCACTTTTCACTAGTCTAAATGACTACATGAGGCAGTTGAGAACTGGACCCAGTCTGTTTATGTTCCAAGGAATGGGATTTTCAAAAATGCTTAAAGGATTCAGGAGCTCAAGTTACATTGCCTTTTAAGGGTACAAATGCTCCTAAGTCACTTTAGCACTTTTCGAAAATTCCATCCAACTGATTTCTAGTGTTCTTAGTATCCACATGTGGTCTTGAGTTAGTTATAAAAATGATTTTTCATGTACAGTAAAACTCTGATGGTCCGGCACCCCGATGGTCCGGCACCATCAGGAACCCAGAAGTGCTCTGGGCAGCCGGACCATTGGAGCTGCTCTGCCCCCAGCTTACCCGATTCAGCCAATGCTAAAACTGACCAGCGGCTGAATCGAGGACGCCTAGGGCAGAGCACTGGAGTGCTGCCAGATAGGTCCCCACAGCACTGCCCCTTGGGGCTGCGGGACCCAACCCAGCAGCCCCTCAGCTGTCCCCGATTCAGCCGCTGTTGAAACTGACCAGCGGCTGACTCCAGGAAGCCCGAGGCAGAGCTGCTCTGCCCCGGGGCTTCCTGGAATCAGCCGCTGATCAGTTTCAGCAGCGGCTGACTTGGACGCCTGGGGCAGAGCAGCTGGGGTGCTGCTGGGTTGCTCCAGTAGCACCACTCCTCGGCGCTACTGGACCAACCCAGCAGCACCCCAGCTGCTCTGCCCCAGGGTCCACAACAAAAGCCTGGTCTGCTGTGGGGGGCACACATGGGAAACACTTAGAAGTGACAGTCTAGTCATTTGGGAACGCAGTGGGAAGTTCAGTGTAGGCTCTACTGCTTTAGCTAGGAGATGACTGCTGTTCTTCACTGGTGCCGGCAGTATGTCCGGCACCGTGCAAACATCCCCTGGCAATGCATGGGGATGCATCTCCCACCAGGCATTCAAGATTGTGCAACCTGGATTGTTTTCACTACAGGATCATTTATTTACAGGGTCAGGGATGAAACCCCTCAGGCATGAAATCTGCGTGAGTAGAACTGAGCCTCGTTTTCTCTCCCTTCCAGCTGGCCCATTGACCCAAGACGCAGAGTTAGGTTGTCTCTCCAGCTGCTCCCGTCCACATGGTGCAAGAGAGCTGAGCTGAGCGGAAGGATAAGATGGTGGTAATGACCTAGACTGGGGTGGGGAATCTTTTTTGGGTTGGGGGCCACTGATCCACAGAAAAATCAATTGGGGGCAGCACACAATTGAGAAGTAAAAATAAAAACCTAAATACAGTAAACTTCCGGTAATCCGGCACCTTTAGGACCCAGAGGGTGCCGGATTATCGGATATGCCGGACTATCGGAAGGGGGGGGGCTATGAGGGGTCTTGGGTGGCATCCCCTCCACCCCACCACACCCCAGAACCCTCATAGCCCCCCCTTCCAATAGTCCGGCAAATCTGATAATCCGGCACCCCCTGGGTCCTAAAGGTCCGGATTATCGGAAGTTTACTGTATTATGTGAAATGTTTCAGTTGTAAAGTGTTCTTGCATGAAGACTTCAAAACCAAGTGAGATGCAAGGAAATAAATCAAGTTCTACTCCTTAGAAAAATCTGTCAAGGTTACTACGGAGAAAAATCTGCTCGTTTCCATCACACATTTTATCCCAAAATATTTTCCAAATTACATGTTTATGCAAATCACGTCAGGCCATGTTCACTGTGGCACAAAGGGTAGGAAGATCTTGGCGAAAACTTTTGAGACAAACTTTAGATTCATGGTTCTTAGAAACTTGAGGTCTAAGATGCACACACAGTAAACATAGAAACAAACCCACCTACTTCGAAAAGTTTAAGGAATGAAGCTGACACTGCCAGAAATTAAACCTAAGATCCGAGGGAACATGCCGGCCCAGCAATCCCTAATGGAGATGAGGGTTGGGTTTTGGTTTTGTTTGGCATGGGAGGGTGGAAAGGGTTGTTCGGCACTTTTTTCTTTTTTAAAGACACAAAGTAACAACTGTATCTGTACACTACTTTACAGACTGTCAGTCTGAGTACAACGAACAGGCCCTGACTGACAACACCACCAGCCATTACATAGATGCAATATTGGTACAAGAAACTGCTGACTCAATGCAAAGTAAAGGGGGATCTGCACCCCACTGCTGACAGGTGCATCTCACAAATGTCCTCGTGCAAGAGGGGCTCCAAAGGCTCGGTAACAGGGTCAATACGATTACAAAGGGAGACAAAGCATATTTCCTCTTAATATTATCCTTAAACTAACATTCAATTTTAAATAGTAGGTCTCCCATTCATTCAGCTGCATAATAGGCAGGATACATAAGATCACCTATCCACCACTAGAACATTAAACTGGAAAGCAAAGAGTGATAGATTAACTAAGACCACCTAGTTGTCTATGTCAAATTCTGTGCAAAATTCTGAAAATCCTGTGCAAAATAAAAATGTAGATATTTAATACACATGATCTTCAAATAATTGAAAACCTTTTTCTAATTTACTTACCTGTCAAGTCCAGAGTTCAAGATACAGTATTTCTACAATACTTATTGCACCAAATACTTGATACCTATTATACTCTAATGTATTAAAGGGAAAATGATCCAAAACTCAACATGTGGCTGGTAAGTGAAGTAGGAAGTTATCTTACTGTGGGTTTAGACAAGCTATCTAAACTTAGATGCTGCGTTAATAACAGGCAATCTGTATTTAAATTTAAACGTAACTGCAGTTCAAAAAAACTGCTTATGCAATAAAGTTAAAGTGCTTAACCCAAATATAAGGAAAGTAACTAAGAGGAAATATGTACGACTATTCTACCTTATTTCCTTTTCATTCTACATGTCAAGTTAACAAATTCTTATTTTCTTGTACATGAGAACATGAAGTGTGAAGGCGGGTGGGTACAGGCCTGGACGTTTATTTTGGTCTGACTAAAACTGCAACTGAACACAGTCACCTACCACTAAAAACAGCAACTAAGGGCTGAGTTTCAAGCTCCCATTCTAATTGCAGTAACCCCTGCCCCTCTGTTTTTAAAGCACTTGTTATGATGAGAAAACCTCAACTAGATGGTCTTGCATGATGTTCTGAAGTCTTTATGACTTGGACTCAGTCTAGAGTCTTCCAGTGAGCTATTCTACACAAAAGCCTTGAACTAGGCATAGTTGATCACCAGCTCATGTGATTCATTCTGGGATTTGTTAGCCCATTCACGTTCAACGTATAACTGATGATTATTAGGGACAGTGACTACTTACCTCCAATTCTTTATCGCTCAGAGAGCCGACACTGCACAAGCTCTGATTGGAAGACTCGCTATTTAATGGACCCTACAGTTGGAAAAACAAAAACAAGAACTTAGGGACAGTTTTCATAGAAGGCAAGAAAGTTGTGAACATGTCCTAGTGTGAGCTCAGCTTTTAAAACACTTTGCAATGATGTTTTCATGCCCTTTGAAATATTACCTAAAGTAATATTAGTAAAGCTAAAACAATTAGCTTGTGAAAGAAAACATTTTAATTGCCGAATAGCAAAGCAAAACAGCTTTTCCAGCAACCATCTGCTTTACCAGCAAGCATCTGCTTTACCTGGGGCTAAGAATTTAAAGGTTCATTCCATTTGACAAGCTAGCTACTGCTGCTGCCATCTGTTATTCTTACTGGTTGAGACTAGGGATGTTAAATGGTGTTTAATCAACTAATCAACTAGGAATTTCCATCAACTAGTTGATAAGAGGGGGAAACTGCAGAGCCACAGCAGGGTTAACGCCTGGCCCCAGGAGCTAACCCTGCTACAGCTCTGCCTTTTAAATGTATTAAATGCCCCTTGGCGGGAGCTGGGAATCAGCTGATTCCTGGCTCATGCCCAGTCCCCCACTATGCCTCTGCCTCCCTTGGCCCCCCCACAGCAATGGTGCTGGGGGGGAACCGGCTTTTAAGCTGGCTCCCCACAGCACCAGCATCTGCTCTCCCCCTTGCTGCCTGTCTCTGATAGCCTCCTCCCCGCTGCCCCTCTCTGAAAGAGGCAGCAAGTGGGGTGAAGCAACTAGTTGAGTCACTAGTTGACATGCTTATTGGATAGTTGACTATCACTTATATCCCTAGTTGATATTGCAAGGAACTTCTCTTGTAAGTCAGTCATCCTTGACTGACCCAAAACTAGAAAGGTTTACTCCCATCACTTCCAATGTCTGCATTTGGACACGAATTTTGGATCAGACTTACAAAGGCATTGAGGCACTAAAAGATGTTGATAGGCACTCTTGCAAGTTTCACAAGGTGACTAAGTCCAGGGGCAGCCCCTGAAGCTAGGCAAACTAGGCAGTTGCCTAGGGCGCTGCTGGCCCAGGCGCCCGATGATGATGTCATGGCCATTGACGGCCGTGCAGGCGGGGGCACCGATCGCGCCTTCTGCCTGGGGCGCCAGCTGCTGCAGCCGGCCTTGGGCCGCTCCTAAGTCGATTAGTGGCCTTTGTAAATGTGGTCCAAAGACTGCAGTAAATCTAAGCTAAAAGGAAACTGGAGCAAGTCATGCAAATTTACTGTTACCTCAAATTTCAATACTTGTACACAGAATAATTAGTTTAAAAATTTAGGCACTCTTGCCCAACACATAAAAAACAAGATTCGAAGTGGAGATCTTTACTGAGGAGTGACAGGACAAAAGTCGTCCCTATGGTGGGTTTTTGGTTTTGTTTTTTACTTCATTTCACCCCTTACATTTTTCCTCACTGCAATGGAGGATGGTGGGTTGGGTTGCACTGCAACAACATATAAAGGCTTAAGCTACAGGTGATTTTAATTAGCAAGTGGAAAAGGTAATGAACACTAAGCACATTTTCCAACAGGAACAGTGTAAGGTCAGCATTGGAGATTACAACCTTATCACCACCTAACGGCTCACTGAAAGAATATGCCTCACTTTCTAGACAAGAGAAATCCCCCTTGACTGCACCCAAAACCAGAAGCTTTGATATAGTATCAAAGAGGCTCCATCACAGTAGTTTATTATTATGCCAAGTTAATTCTCCATATGAATGAAATGGAGACTGTGCTGAAATAACAGCATGACCAAGCCAGATTTGTGAGGAAACCCTTCCCCCCACCTCAGCTTTATATACGGAACATTCCAGTAATACTAGCACAACTATGTTTAAATAAGACGTTACGGGTGTGATGCATCTCAGCCAGAAGCAAAAAGTTCAAAATAACGCCTAATTTCAACTGCTGCAAATCTGTGTTACACCTTGAATGTTAAGTACCGATTTGTTTATCTGAGTGTGTAAAGGAGAAACAAAGAAGTATTTTGAAAAAAACTATAGTGGAATAGTTTGAAAGACTATTTAAGACAATTTTAAAAAACTTCAGATATTAACAGTTATTTTCTAATCCATATTGCAAGTTATAATTCCTTTATGTCCTCCCCAAAAAACATCTACCCGCATAAAAAAAGTTTAAGCTAAAAATAGATTCCTCCTCTTCCCCTCCCCCCGACAATTTAAAACAGGGATGTACAACCACAAATAGTGGGTGGGCTGGATGAGTGGGTCACAGCAGCCTACGACCCACTGGAGTTCCACCTGCAGCCCCACAGCCCTGTCTGCCCCCTCCCCAATGTGCCTCTTGTCCACTGGAGCTCCACGCTGACCTGCTCCTCCCTCTCCTTCTTAGCCCTTTCGCAGTGAGCAAGTCACCTGATTCACAGCTCCTCCGAAAGTGTTGGGAGAGAGGGGAGGCGTAGGAAGTGCAGGGCCCTGGTGCCCCACTGTGTGAGGCATGGGGGGGGGGGACAGGCAGGAGGTCTGCACTTCCCACAGGTCACAGTTTGCCCACCACTGATTTATTTATTTTATTTATTTAAAATGTTTTACCCCACTTCTCTATTTAAAATAATCAAGGCAGCTAAAATCTAGATAGTTTTAAAAAAAAATTCACAGCAGGTTATTTCTTGATGGATCTTGTACTCCAACTAACAGCAGGTGCATTTTTAAAAAGACCAAATGATGAACCCCCAACAAACAGAATTTAACAAGTACCACTACTAACCACAGATATAAACACAGCCTTCATCTAGCCGTAATAAACTTAGTAGATCTTATGGCTGGTGGTGACAGGAGGTTAATCTCTTTGCCCACATAAAAAAGCTTGTTAATAAACTTCACAAGCGATGCCCTCTAAAATCCATCATTTCCTTTTATGAACCTGACCCATAACGGCACGTTCAAGACGTCAGCATTTGGTAGAACATTAAAACTTTGCCTCTACACCTTAGTAAAGTTCACTAGGTGCAGACGCACCTCAGATTAGTGTCCTGCCTCAGACATATTAAAGGGTCTCTAATATTATCAAGATGAAAGTGAAAGCTCTTCCCACACTTTCTACAATCTCACTGCCTCCATTTCACACATGCAGAGTAAGTGACAGAAGCAGCTGCTCCTAAAAATGCCACATTTGAGCTTTTCAGGGCAGGTTGTACACAGGAGGATATTTCATTTGTTTAAGGAGGTTCTTATATTTCATCCCACTGACCAGTATTCTAGAACAGCCCAGAGGGATAACATGGACAGTCAGAAAAGAGTCTCCTGAAATGTCAGATGCATGTTTATCCTCAACAATGTACAGTTTGACTTAAAAAACTGTTTTCCTAATCACTCACTTGAAAACCGCACATGGACTCTGACGGTCATGCAGTGTTCTGAACTTTGACACTGTCACCAGAATTAACTATTCTGCAGCTGAACATAGCTGGCCTAATTAACATGTAGGTACAGCTATAAAAGAGCAAGCTGGAATAGAATCTGTCTTGCAAAGCAACAAAATAGTTATTTATTTCTAACCACAATTTCTTGAAGGATGGAATTCAGAATACAAGGCAGTGTTTAGTTTTACTTTACGAGGCTTTGCTCAAAGCAGTACTTCTCTTGGAAATCATGAGACACAAATATCCCAATGCTTCCAACACCAAGGCTGTGTCTAGACTGGCAAGTTTTTCCGCAAAATCATCTGCTTTTGCAGAAAAACTTGCCAGCTGTCTACACTGGCTGCTTGAATTTCCGGAAAAGCACTGACGATCTCATGTAAGATCATCAGTGCTTTTCCGGAAATACTATGCTGCTCCCGTTCGGGCAAAAGTTTTTTTCCGAAAGACTTTTGCGCAAAAGAGCCAGTGTAGACAGCACAGTAGTGTTTTCCGCAAAAAAGCCCCGATCGCGAAAATGGCGATGGGGGCTTTTTTGCGGAAAACCACGTCTAGATTGGCCACGGACGCTTTTCTGCAAAAAGTGCAAGGAGCCAGTGTAGACAGCACAGTAGTGTTTTCCGCAAAAAAGCCCCGATCGCGAAAATGGCGATGGGGGCTTTTTTGCGGAAAACCACGTCTAGATTGGCCACGGACGCTTTTCTGCAAAAAGTGCTTTTGTGGAAAAGCGTC